TTTTAGTTTGGACCATCTTTAGAGTTTTATAAAATTTTACATAACATTATAATATCTTTTCATATCTTTAATTTTTTGTTTGAAATACAAATAAATAGTTTTAAGAAAATTCTAACAAAATCTTTTAGAATCTTTTTCAAGATATAGTTTCAAAAATTATTTGATTAAAATCTTAATATCATAAAATATAATTAAAATTGAATTAATTTTAAATTTATAAACAAAAATTGAAATTATGTAAAATACTTTTAACAATATCCCAAAATTTTGTTTATGTATTATTTAGGTCCAACTTAATTAATTTTTACATAGATTTCAAATTTAGAAATAAAAAAAATATATAAATTAGTAATCTTACATAATAAGTAAATTATTACAAAAATACAAATTTATAAATTTTATATTAATAATATTATAAGTCACATAAAAATGATTATAAATTGGATAGCACAAATAATCAAATTATACTTATTTATTGATAAATTTTATTATATAATTTCAAATATTTTCGTATTAAAATATCCGCACGATTGGTCTATACAAGATTTTAGTCCATGTGTTTGTGTGTGTGAAATAGACTGTTAAAATGAACTAAACTAAAATGTATTTATTTATTGAAAATGAAGACACAACACACAACCTTAAAGAAACTAAATATGAAAATTCATTTCAAAGAAACTAAAGATGAATATTATTTCAAAGAAACTAAATCTGAAAATTTCACTTTCAGCATATGAATGGAGCATCTGCATTACTATCGCTACAATACAGCCCCGGCTGTTGAGGATAACATTCATACTCAAGAAGCTCTCTCACACCTAAAACCAGTTCTTTGTTGGTGATCTTCTTACCTTTTGTTTCATCAAGTATGATCTGTATTGCATCGCTGAATGCTCCATAAGCTTGTCCCTTTGTGCGTACATCTCCTGATGTTTGATCAGTCTGACATCCACTTAGCAAAATACCCTTGTCTTTCTTTCTCACTACTTGTTTCTTCAGGCCTTCAGTTTCCTGCAGATTCATGGTCTCCTTCACTTTGGGAGATGCATCTTCTCCAAACGCATTGACAAGAGACCTTCTGATATTCCTTGCTTCTATATCATCCTTCCCTGTTTCTTGCTTTAGCATATTGATCATGCTCTGCAGAGACAGTGATCGGTTTACCACATGGACTCCGTTCCTCCCATGTTCTTGTCCAGTCTCCTTAGTCTTTACTGCCTTCTTGGTGCTCTCTCCGATCTGCTCCTTGGTTGCGTCAATGAGACCACCACTATGACATGAGTCCGAGACTATTGTAATGGAGCAGTCTTCAGGCACTTTATCAACGATCTCTCTGATTTCATCATCTCATAAAAAAAGAACATTTTAATTAGTTTCTATTCTCATCAAGAAAGAAGGAAAATACAAAGCTACGTACCAGTGATGTTGTTCATATCGCAGGGAACAATACACTCATCGAAACCAGTATTGTCGTCTTCACCAGTCTCTGGAGGCAACCTCACACCGTGTCCACTGTAATGAACGAAGAGAACATCTCCGGAGTTGGCTGCTCCGACCAGCTCTGACAAAGCTTGTCGTATGTTCTTGCCAGTGGGTTGGATCTTGGACTTGTCGGTATCAATCAGCTCGGTGATGTTTTCCTCTGAGAATCCAAACCGGTCAACAAGGCATTTGTGCATACGCTTGACGTCATTGACGCAGCCAAATAACTCTCCCTCGGTTCCAGGGTAGTTGATCCCAATCAGTACGGCTCTCTTCACCATTGGTGATGACTTGATGATTTGTGTAGTGAATCTTCTTATCATTTTGGAAAATTATTATAAGATGAATTGATTCTTCAAGAGTTTAAAGTCAACCTTTATATAGATGAAAGATGCTTCAACTTTCTTTTTCAAATTTTTTTTGTTAATGGTTAATTTAATTATGTACTCTTATCACGTACAAAACGTGAAATGATGATTATAAAAATCAATCTGATAATGATGCATGAGTTGTATTTTGTTTACTACTATAAACTTTTATTGGTAACCGAGAGTCTCCTATTGAGCTGTAACATATTTTATTTTGTTTAGCCAACTTTGCATGTGGTTCCAACATGATTGGTTTTTTTTTTTTTTTAAATAAAAAATGCTTTAATACATTGTTTATTTAAGCGAAAATTTGTTTTGTTTTTGTAAATTGGTGAGTAGTAGCAAGGAGAACAAGCTGAAACTAGGGCTGGGACTTCGGGTATTCGGTACGGTTCCGGATAATATCTGTTCGGTTCCGGGTAAATCGGTTATAAGAAAACTATACCCAACTAGTACTTAGTAAACTTCGGTTCGGATCCGGATCGGTTCCACCACGGTTCCGGGTTGGTTCCGGTATTCAAATTTAAACCCGAAATATTAATATTTTGTTTTATTTTTAATATTTTTTTATTATTTTAATAAAATAAAAATAAAAATAAAATAAAAATCATATATATACTAGTAGAATGTATTAATGTACAACGCTTTTGAGTCAGTTCAGTGGTATTGCTCCTGATAATTTGTCCCTCCAACCCGGGTTCGACGCTTCTTGGGCACATTCCTATGTTTTTTAAATGTAGAATCCGGTTTAATCGGTTACCCGATCGGTTCCGGGTAAAAACCGAAACCGAACCGATACCCGTGGATAATCAACATCAATACCCATCGGTTAATTGTGGCATGACCGAAATCGAACCGAACCGGTCTATTCCGGGTCGGATCCGGTTCGGGTATTCGGTTCCGGTTAATTGTCGCAGGCCTAGCTGAAACTAAGAAACGGTATTAGTTTGCTGCTATTAATTTGGATTTCGTGGAGTTTTTGCCCGGTAATAATTTTTTTTTTCGAACTGCAAGATACCATTTAACTGTAATTTTTACACCAGAATATCTCTAACCCATTTCCAAAAATTATATTATTGTGGTGCAACACTATAGTTTTACACCAAATTTAGTGTGATATTATTCATCATACTAAAATACTATTAATCTTACTAAAATAATATTTATTTATTTTATTAAGAAAATTTATAATTAAATAAATAATAAACAAATAAAATACAATACTATAGAATAGTTTTAGTGTAAAGTTTAGTGTTATGGTTGGAGATAAATTTATTTGTAGTGTTGAAACTACACTAACAAAATGTGATTTTAACACCGAAATAACCAAAATGGTGTTATGGGTTGGAGATATCCTAATAAACTAGAAACATAATTAAACAGCAGATAAAATTATCGTAGGTAGTTTATACAAATGGATTTTATTAATCTTTATTCACTTTTAAACCGTTAATCAATAACATGCTTATATATATAAACCATTTCAAAATCGTGCTTATATATATAAACCATCAAATTTGTTAGTCATCCAATAATTCATCAAAACGACGTCAGGTTCGATAAGTTTTCAAAAATATAAATTTAAAAATACTACATAAACTTTCAAAATTGTGCTTATATATATATATATATATATATATATATATATATTAACCATCAAAGATGTTACACATCCGGTAATTTATCAAAACAACGTCATTTTTTTTTATAAATCCTGTAAATTAGTTTGGAAATACAACGCAAACTCTTAAAATTTTGCTTATATATTGATCATCAAGATGTTAGTCATCTGTTAATTTATCAAAACAATGTCATTTAAGATAAATTTTATAAAACTAAAAAAATTATGGGATGTTCGAATTCTCACACTAATGGACAAGTATAAAATGAATATTTAAATTAATAATAATTAAGTTAAATTTTACAAAATAACTATTTGTAAATTTCAATTTAAAACATAAATAATTATAGATTGATTTGATAAATTAAAAAAAAAATTTGATAACATTTATTTGACTAAAAACTTATATAAGTTAATGTTTACATAATTTATACAAGGAAGTTACTTTGGTCTAGCAATTATTATGCTCTTACTTAGCCACCAGTGTGAAAGAACACCCAAAAAAGTATTTTTAATTTTATAGACTTTATTGAAAATGATGTTGTTTTCATAAATTAACTAATGAATAATATATTTTATGATTAATATATATATAAGCATGATTTTGCAAGTTTACATAGTATTTTAAATTTTATAAAATTGATTTAAAATGACATCATTTTGATAAACTAACGGATGACTGGAAAATTTGACGAACTATATATAAACACGATTTTGAGAGTTCGTACTGTATTTTTATACTTTTGTTTATGCACTAATATAAAGTTCAGGAAGGAAAATGCACGATCTGTAAAGTTCGTATAGTATTTTTAAGTTTTTGTTTAGTTTAGTATGCAATACGCATTACAACAAAATTCAAGAAGGAAGATGCACGATTGGTAAAGTTGAGGTTGAAATAGGCGCTTTTCCATGGTTCCAGATAACATTTGGAATTACTATAAGATTTTGTTTTATCTTTGTTTAAATTCGATAGGTTTCTATAAACCGGCTTTATATAAGCCAGTTCGATGGTAGATGTTAATACAGTGGAGGTAATCAAACAGAGTGAGCCGAATATTCTTGGTGTGTTATTAGTTTTGTCTAGGTACTCCATTAAACATCAGAAACGTTGAAGTTGATAATAAGACATTCTTCATAAAAGGATATTAGATTCAGGGACACATGGATAGTCAACCCGTTAATCGATCACATGGTTGCTAACTTACTGGTAGCAACTTAGATCAATAACGTTTTCTTGATGCTGAGGATCTTGTCTCTGAGAAGCCTCCTCATGATTTTACCAGAGAGAGATTTGGGAATTGAATCCACAAAATGGACGGCTCTGATCTTCTTGTAGTGAGCCACATTTGCTGCAACAAAGTTAAGGATGTCTTCTTCTTTCTCTCTGGCTTTAGGATTCATCACAACACAAGCCACTGGAATCTCTCCGGCTTCCTCGTCCGGTAACCTTTTCTCATTATTTTTTTCCAAATAATTTGTTTTAAATCAACCATTTTTGAACATTTTAATATCTAGCTTAAAAGAAATTTCAATACAATAGATACTCACGGCACGACAGCTACGTCTTCAACGGATGGATGAGTGAGTAGAATGGCTTCAAGCTCCGCCGGAGCCACCTGCGCCGGAAAGTGAATTAATTTATTTAGAGAAGGCTGAACCATAACCAAACCGAAATTACAATCAAACCGAACTGAACCAAATGAGGTTTTGTTTGTTGCACATATCTATACGTAAACTTTTAGTAAACACTAGAATTCAAATAAACACTAACGCGACACTGAAAATTTGATCCAATATAAACTAAATCAAAAATATGAAAATCAAATCTGGACTAAAGACTGAGTTCAGTATAGCAATCTCAAACCGGACCTAACCGGGAAAGAAAACGGAACGCTAAGATTACTTGTATATAAAGTTACCTGAAAACCCTTGTATTTGATAAGTTCTTTAATGCGATCAACTATGAAGATATCTCCATCATCATCAATGTAACCTATATCTCCTGTGTGAAGCCAACCTTCTTCATCAATCGTCTTCTCCGTCTCTTCCTTGTTCATGAAGTAACCTTGCATCACACATTGGCTCCTCACACAAAGCTCACCAGAAGTGTTCTTAGGGAGCGACCTGCCCGTGTCAGGATCTATGAACTTCACCTCGAGATTCGGAAGTATAAAACCGACAGAGTTTCGTTTGGCAATTCCTTGTCCTTTGTCAGGATCTCCATGAGTTAACGTAATGCAACTATGCTCCGTTAATCCATAAGCCTATTAATAAGACAATGAAACCTAGATTGAGCACAGTAAAAAAAACATTAATGTCTTTAATTAGTGTTTTTGAACTTGCCTCTTGGACTTGAACATTAGGAAACTTGGCTTCAAAGGCAGTGAGGAGCTCAGGAGCTAAAGGAGCAGCAGCAGTCATAACCGAACGGAGCTTAAGCTTAGAAAGATCAAACTCATCAACGATCGGATTCTTGACAAGATTCAATATAATAGGTGGAACAATAGGCGCAAACGAGACCTCATGAGCAATCAAAGCATTCAAGAAAAGCCTTAGATCGTAACGACTCATAGCAACAACTTTGCCTTTATTCTTCATCGTGGCACAACATATTCCGACGATACCGTAAATGTGAAAGAACGGAATTAAACCAAGAGTCACGATCTGACCGATCATTTCAGGCCTGATGCTGAAGAGAGTAGAGCAAAGATTTGCTATGAGGTTGCGATGTGTGAGCATCACTCCTTTTTGTAACCCTGTTGTGCCTGAAGAGAAAGGAAGTGCACATAGATCGGTCTGAAGAATCTCTTCTTTGTGGTTGTCTCCGGATCTGTCTCCTGCTTCTAGAAGATCTTTAAAGTTCGCTGCTCCTTCGATCTTCTCTTCACCTAGCACTATTACCGGTAAACCCAAAGTCTTCACCTGTCCAAAATCGGTAGATGTTATAGGCGGATATAAGTAGTTTTAAATCGAACCAAATTTGAACCGAAATAAATCCAGAAAATGAACTCAATCTTAGGTATAAACCGACTAGCATTAAAACTTTCATTCCAAGAAACAAGATCCAATCAAAACGAATTATCCAAGGATATATATCAACTAAAATTTATTTGTATTTTTGTTGCTTTTCCATCCAAAATGAAACTTAATTCAAACTGAAAACTATTCCAAACCCTGAATTTAATCTAACCAAATAAATAAAAGAATGATAGAAAACATTTTTAAAAAAATATTAAAATCAAATTAAAGCTTAACAAAAAACAAAGCAACATTCCACCATGCTAAAATAGAATACGGTTAAAGCCAGTATAACAATTTCGTACCAAATACTGAAAAAACAGACCGAACCGAATTATTATACGTGATGTTGAACATTTATATGCACATAATCATAAAAAGAAACATATATGTATTTAACCTTTTCAAAGTTAGTAGAATCAGTGATGATTCCTCTAGCACCAGAAGCTTCAACTTGCTTCTTGATTTCCGAGACAAGAGCTGTCGGATTGGCGCCGGAGAAAACTCCACCGGCTGACATAATGCCAAGGGCAATAATCCCATACTCCGCGACGTTTGGTAGAACCACGACCATTACTTGACCTTTCCTTAGTCCAAGTGAGGTCAACGCTTTGGCTAGCCTCTTTGTGTCCCTCACTACATCACCGTACGTGACTGCTTTGCCGGTTACAGCTTCCACGAACGCCACATTCTCTGTGAATTCTTCTACTCCTTGGAGCACAAACTCAGGCTTTTAACACATAATAAATTAAGTCTCGTTAGGATAGTCAAATATACCGAATTCAAACGTTGTTTGTAAAAATTGTAAACCAATACCAAACAAAAATTTGTTTCTAATCTAACCATTTTCTTCCTTTAATACACAGAATAAACCAAATCAAAACGAATAGTGTAGCCAAACTAATCGAATCAGATAAACATAAAAAGTTAGGTACTGAATCAATATAGCATTAGTTAAAATTATGATTATTCAAGTAAATAAAACGAACCAAAAATATTCAGACAACAAAATACTATTATATAATTAACTAAAACAATTGTTTGCTCATAACTAAAAGTTTTTCTTTGTCTAATACCAACCAATTCAAATCCATACCAGGGTAAGATTGTCAGGAATGGGCACAGATGGATATAGACTGCGGAAAATATGTTCATTGTCTTGTTTTTGACTCTCCATTTCAGATGAGTTGAATTTGATATTAAGTTTTACAAAAGAATAGATGGATATAAATAGGAGAATTTTTTCTCTTGTTCATATGTCATGTCGTCTGTGTGTGCAAACCAATATTGGTAATTAAGAAGAAAGTAGAGGATAGTTCCTCTTTGACTCTCTTAGACATAGGTGAAGTTTTGTTGAGACACGTACTTGTTGTTCATAGAACTAATTAAAAATGAATTGAAAACTTCAATAAAGAAATTAATAGTGTCATTAGCTAACTGGGAAAATATCTTACGCAAAGCTTAGAAATCACATAATCAAATCAATTAAAGTTTACTAAATGTGACATACATGACATGCGTGTGATAGAAGAGAGCAATATAAACGATAGGAGAAACAAAGAATACATGCTGAGAAGAAGCTAACAATGCTTCTATACAAATTACTAAATGTCTTCAAAAATATATATATTACAAAATGTCTTGTGTATGTGTATGATCAATATGTCATTGATAGGTTACAAGGAGATACTCATTCACTCACTCACTCCAGCTATCTGAATCATGGTCGTCGTCGCTTCCCGCCATTGCCTACATATAAAATAACCAATACATCAATAACTTTTTTCTCGTACTATACATTTCAAAATTAAACCAACAAGGATAGAGGGAGAGATAGAGAGATACATGGCGAAGACTATTGGCTTTCTCTAGAATTGCAGCGACCTTCAAGTTGGTCGTAGGAACAGCTACTTGAAAGTTGTGTCTCACCGAGGCATCTGCTGGTCTCAAGTTGAAAGACTGCTAATGCATTTTATTAGTTATAGTGGTTTATACTACTTTATAAAATATGAAAAAGATGAATTATATAGAGAGTTTAACCTTGCTCCGTATGATCTCCAGTAGTGAATCATTATCTTCCACTCGAGCTCCAAGCTGTGTCCTGTTTCTTTCAGATACCTTCCTCAACTGTAATCAAACAAAATAGAGTCACATAATCAAAGCCAATAACCATAGAGACATAGACTTTAAGGTAATTTAATCACCATGCTTTGATCAATTCCAATGACAAGCGACCCATTGTCTCTTGTAAGCTTTTCAACTTTCTCATTCTGTTCATATGAGTCATTGTCTCGTTCTGTTTCCCCTTGTGGTTCTATTGGATTATCAAGTTGAGGTTCCTCTTCTAGCCTTGCAAGGTTAGTATCGGTTTGCTCTTTGAAGTTCTGACTAAACCACTCAAGTGCTTCTAAACCTTCTGTTGATTCTGCCTCTGATGTGGCTTCAGGTGTGAGTAGTGACACCCAAGCAACTGATTCTGAAGGAGACTGTTCCTCCTTAGTTACATTAGATGGGTCATCCAGAGTCGTTTGTGTATGAACATGAGTATTGTGGGTTTCACCTGCTGTAACTGTGGCTTCTGACAGTTCTTGTGCCTCGGTCGCTTGAACTAGTCCATTATGTGTGTTTTCATCCCTATGAATGTTGAAACTGTTGTTGCCGTTGTAAGCAACTGATGGCAATGGAGAGAACTGAGTTTCTGTTGTTTTAACAGTTTGAACTATCTTCCCCATCCACCATTGTGTTGGAGGGAGAGGTGGAAGTGGAGGCGTTAGTTCAAGATCTTCTTGAGGTGTTACATGGAGGGACGTGGAGAAGGGAGCCATGGGCACATCCAAGCAATTTTCTTCATCAGTGGGTTCCATGGAAAGAATAGACTTACAGATATCAGCATTTAATGATGTGATAGTTCCTTGGTCTGGTGCATTAAGAGCTTCTTTTTGCTCTGAAGGTGAACACTGGACACCAATAGGAACATCATGTGGAGGAAGAGATTCAGCTGCTGCCGTTAAATTTTCTGACTCTGTTTCAGGTGGACTTTCTTGCCCTTGGCCCTGTGTCTGTATGTAATACTCAGGTGAAAAACATTCTTGAGTACCTAAAAGACACTCTTCTGGATCACCAATAGTTTCCACGTACACTTCTGGTACGGTCTCACTTCTAGTCTGGTTATCACCTGGGAAAACAGTACTATCTCTTTGAGTATCAGGAATTTGTACCTCAAGCTCATTTCTCCTATCTTCAATAACAGACAAGGTTGGTGGATCCTCTTGTCCAGAATCTGATGATATCTCAGCTAGATCAGAGTTGGCTAATGCGTCTTCATGCCAAGATGAGGCCGAGGGGTTCATGTTTTCTGTATGAACATCTCTTGGAGTATCTAAAATCAGAGGTCCAACATCTGAACTGATTTCAAAACTTGAAATTTGTCCAGACTGTTCGGTACTCATAGAATATCCATCTTCTTTTGGGACTGTACTGTCATGTAGTGCATCAACTTCCAGAGATATATCTTTAAAGTTGTCAAATGTGCCAATATGCTGATTTTGAATAAGATCCTTCTCTGTCTCTTGATCGGCTGTGGAAGAGAAGTGGTCTTCCACTAAACCAGTTAAAGATATCTCAGATTCAGTCTCCACACTAAAAACATGTTGAGAATTATCATCATCTTCAATGTCATTTTTTGTAAAAGCGTTGGTCCCACCCTCAGATGCGTCTACTGGCACTTGTGTAAGCTTGAACAGACCAGATTCTCCTTCCTCTGATGAGTAAAACTGATCCAGAACCTCTCTTTGAGTAACATCTGAATTATGGTTACCACCAGCCTTGTCATCATCACCGTCTGCTTCCTCTGCTTCTGTCCCTATGGAAGCAGGTGCATCTGTGTCATTGCCACAACAATTCACAGAAGAGCTTCTTTCTACACAAACCATGTTGGGAATGTCCTAAAATCATTTGTACTTACTCTTGTTTAAGTCGAAACGTCGAGATTTGACAATCATATAAAATTAGGTGGTTATAATGTTTTGCTAGAAACCGCTTATAATCTATAGATTGAGAATCTATTACTAATTTTATATGACCTACAGGGTCACACACCTAAGTAAACTGGATCACTGATATATTGGGTTGCATGATATATTTATGTATATGTGTTATATATGATATAAGTGCATATATATATATATATATATATATTTATATGTATATACTCGTAAGGCATATAATTATTATTGATAAGTGGGCTTTGCCCAATAAGCTAATCAACGTGATTTAACTCACGTGTATTAGGTTAATGAGAGTCATATTATATAAGATAATGTGACTTTAATAATTACATGTGGAGACTTGCGACGGCAAACCCTAAAACACAAAAGGACGAATAGTTCGTTAAGGTTCTGAGATTTGATCTCGACGGCACCAGCATCCCGTATCGATCCAGTTTGTGTGCGTGTGGATACCGGTAGAGGCACGACGTTTGGAGTGCTTGAAATCTCGAGTTGGTTCATTCACCCTTCCGCTGCAGAATAATCAGGTATATTCGAAGAACCTAAAGATCTAGATTATTTCAGTATTGGCATGAGATTCTAGGCAAATAGAATTCATAAGTTGATTTATAAATCGTTATAAACTGGTATGAATTTCCTTCAGTGGTATCAGAGCATACTTGTTTAATACTGAAATTTGATCTTATTTAGTCTATAATTTGATATAGATAAAAAAATTCTAACAATTTGATTGTTTGGATTTGGTGTTTTCGATATGAACCCTAATTTGATTATGATATTGGATAAAGATGTACGTATTAATTTATACGCTAAGGAACATTGACTTTAGGAAAGTTAAATATTACATATTAATACGACATGAATGAGATAAGTATGTTTGACACGGTCATTCGATACTTATGCAATTAGTATATTTCTAGTATACGGTTTATGGGATACGTGTATTAAATAATAAGCCAGAAAACATTATTGTAATGTTGGTCAACGAATTGTTTTGTTGGGCTATAAGATTGTTTTGGTTCAATCGTTTTAATCTTTTATTAAATTATATATCTAATTTAATTAGATTCTAATAATAAATTTAAGATTATCTAAATAAATAATTAATAATTTTAATCAGATTAAAATTATTTTAATTATTTATGATTCCATTAAAATACATATAAGATATGTATTAGTTATATTTATTTTATATTAGATATAAATTTTAAATATAAATTAATATTGAATTAAAATTTGTTCCTCAATTAATTTCAAGTATTTTTGATGTCTACCCAATCCTATCAACCATCAAGGCTCGTTTCGTTGTAAGATGGGCTTGCCAAAGCAAGGTGTCTGCAATTACATGAGTGAGGTGGATGGTAACGGTTACCATATGAAATAAGATTGGTTTACTTGACTAGGCTATCAAAACGGTTTTGGGCTTAGAGACATAGGTTGGATAAGACATAAGATGTCGTCCAACAACCAAGAATTATAT